TTTTTCCCTCAAGTAAAAGGAAACATTGCTGCAGACAAAACCATTTTTTTTCTGGCATCCTTGTCATTGCTGCAGGTGAACTAAAGGAGCTCAAGTGAACATCTCCTCCCACATTACATCACGCAGCTGTCTGAAAATTCAAAGTGGGATAGATTTTTTTTTAAAGCAAGCAGTAAAGCATGGTTTTGGCCTTTGAGAATAATTGAAAGGTGAGACCAAAAGCTTAGATTTTATCTTAGAAAATGGATGAGGCCATCAGAGAGTATGGAAGAGTCGGATGCTTGATGACGATGCTGCATGGAAGTGAGGGAACTGATAAATGGAGTTAATCAAAGCCTCACAGAAAAAAAAAAAGATTAGGAAAAAATCTCAGTAGTTTTTAAACTAACATTGATGGCAAAAAGAAAGCAACTGAGAGCTGAAGTCTATCTAAAGCTGTTTAGAAAACTTAGCTTCAGCATTTTCCAATACACCAAAATGTTTTACAGCAATTTAATTTAGTATTGAATATGTGTTTTGATGACAGCAGTGGTCATAGCTCAACAATAAGTAGGAGATACGCATATGGAGTACATCTGGACTAAAAGCTAGAGCTACAGTTTTTCAGAAAAAATAAATTACCAACACGTAGTTTGGGAATGCTTTGTTACTTTTCTCAAATGGCCTAGTCAAAGTATGGGTTCAAATACAATTGAGATCTAGGACCATTAACAGGCCCATTAATGTTTCTAGAGCACTATTTTTCTTCATTAGACCACTGCCATATTGACTGAGCTGTATCTATCCCATTAAATTATGACTTTATTTGCCTTGATTTCTTACTTCTGTTACTCCATCATAACACAATATGACATAAATCGAAGATTACAACTGCGGTAAAGAGAAATGCTTACTCTATCAGACTCTGAGAATGGAAGAGGATCAGACTCCTGGCATCTCTGCAGCATCTGCTAATCTATGGAACAATAAAGTTTGCTGAAACACTGCATGGCAAACGCATTTACTGTAATCTAGCTCTTGTAAAATTCAAAAGAAGAGAAAAGATACAAGGCACTATAGATTAGTATTGATTGGCAGCAATGCAGGTCTTGTCCTCAAGTGCTTGTGAGTTGCTCTCTCAGGGCGTTGCCAGGTAATCCAAGCCTCAAAGGTCAGCAAGATTCCTGGCAGGTTGAATTAGGCATTCCTGCAACCCTAAAGGAAACAAAGGCATAGTTGTTAATACTTATGACTCTCTTAGAGATAGTCACCTCATTTCACTTTCATTTCTGTTTTTGAAAACTGTTACAAGATGCCTATGCGGTGCTGGATGTTGTGTGTTTAAGGGGAAATACAATACAGTTGATGAATATGCAAGCTGAGCTTCCTGAAAAGGTTGTAGCAATAAAAAAAGAAGATTGAACTAAAACCAGGAAGAATTTCCTGTGTGCAAGTCTTTCAATCAGCAATTCAGAACAGAAAGAGAGAAAGTTTTCATTATTCCTGTTCTGGGAAGGACAAGGGTCTGCAGTACTGTGATGCCTTGGCTTCAGCGCGGGTGACTGAGATAATTTGCTGGGCGACTGCCAAGTGCATTTCACCCCCCAAAGCACTTTGATTCTCACAGACTGCGTCTGCCTTGCTCTGCTCCAGTGATCAATGGTTCCTAATGGAGGGACGTTCATGTGCAGCAAAAGTTTTAATTAGAACGCTTTTTTTCTGAAGCCTTAAATGAATTTAGACAATGATTTTTGCCTTTCAGATGTGTGGGAACAATTTTGAGATGTCACAAAAAGGCTCCACCAGACATTTCAAGGATTGAATCAATAATGGAGCAATTTACAAAAACAACTCATAAAAAGTAAAAAGTAGATTAATTTATGTTAATGTAAGTTATTTATGCATTCTTGTGCTGCCAGTTTGACTGTCTATCTATCTGAATGTATATATTTGAAAAGTTCCACTGGACAAAATTACACATATATAGCACACAACAGAAAAAGGAAAAGGTTACTTGTTGACAAAAAAATACACATTTTGAAATAAATAAATAAATGAATTTAATTTCCAAAACATTAAATTAATGATGTAGGAAAACAAATTAGGCAAATTCTGTTAAATGCATTTTCCAGTGGTCTTTTGGTAAGACATGTATAGGCCTTTACAATAAATAAAACAGAAAAAAATATATACTATTCATTTTAAATTACACATTTCTTTAAGAATAAAAACTCAGTGGTTCAACCGCTGAAATATTTAGCAGACTAAAGTGCTTTTTATGACAATTATGTCTCTGTGCTATAAACTAGAAATACAACATGAGTTAATTGTTCTGTATATTTGTGAATTTCAGCACAGCTTAAGGTATGTAGCAAACATTTTAAAATATGCTGTGTAAAGTGGTTGATCATTTTTTAACGATATAAACATTAACACTTTGCTGCCACCTACAGTTTAAAGTCTGTCAGTGCATGGACTGACGTAGACTGCGGAACCAGTCCATGTTTATTCTTATTCCAAGAATAAGAATAGAAGATGGAAACAAACCAAAACAGAAACACATTTTTATTTTCACTTCTTCTAAATAAAAGAGTAACTAGGATGTCACATGTATTTGCAGTAAAGTAACAGTGTCTCAAAGTGAAAAATCATCTTTTTTTTTCATTTTAATCTGGCACAGGAGTGGTTTCTTGTAAAGGTGAACTGAAATGAAAATAACTGAATAAAAACAAACAAAATAAAACAAGTGAAAACCAGATAATGTCCAAAGAGAGTTCCTCTCGTTTTAAAAATATTTCTCTGACAAAACAGCAAAAATGTTTTGCACTGTTTTAAAACTTTCCAAAGCTATATAATATTATACTTCTCCAAATCTGACACTCTGAAGCAAATTCAGTAATTAATGCATCAGTAAATAGACAAACACATTGTAAGTAATTCGAAAATAACCAAAGTAGAAAGTTTAAATCAAGGTGAAGGGGACGGTGTGTCCCTTGTTGCAGTGACTAGAGCTTTTCAATCTACTGTTTGCACTTTACATTGTCCAGAGCAAAACTGGCTGAGTCCCAACGTGTTTGGTGCTGAGGTAAGCACACGTCATTGTCAAGGACAAACACTTCAGGAGACTCAGTATGTTTTGGAGTAAGGCCAAATGGCATCTGACAGAAAGGTAAGGGTGGTGTGAAGGAGTTTTAGGACATTTTGTAGACATTTTTTTTTTTTAATATGGGATGTAATATTTATGTAAAAAAAGAAATATAAATTTAACTGAGATCTACATATGAAATGATGCCAAATGAGAAATATATTTAGAAAAGTTTGGTAAAACAACATTACACTGTAAAAAATAAATATGTAAACATAAAAAAAAAATATTTTGTGTTGTTTATATGAACTTAGGACAAATCCGATCATACTGTTAATAAAACATCAGTGCTGTTAATTGTTATAGACACATACATTCACTTCTCTCCATCACAGCTGAAAAAATTACAGTAAATATTTAAAAATACAATTTAATAAAGAAGCTATACAGAAGTTCTTTTTAACATTCATTAAAAACCTGAGCAACCTTTTTTTTGTTTGAAAAGGAAAAAAAATAAGCACAGAGAGAGTAATAACATCTTTTGGCCACCAGGTGGTAGAATAATGCAAATAATGTCACAATGCGAAAGCCGTTGCCAATTTCAAACAGCAGTAAATCATCAGACATCATCGACTTCTTAAAGGTGTAGAACACCTTTGTGCTTTTAAAGATAACTCTATCCGGTGAGAGTGAAACACTCTCTGATTTGGTAAAAAACTTTGCTTGCACATTTTTTGTGAATAAAATCTTAAATGGCTAAATCATGACAATGCAACTTCTTTTTGAATGTACATCAGCAAGCTCCAAACATCAGAATTGTTCTTTTATGTTTAAAATGTAACATTACTGTGGAAAAATGTTTTTTTTTAGGTTATTGATGTAATGAGCTCACTGAACTGTGTGTTACTTGACATCTATGCGTGTCTACATTTGAGTCCACCAACAAAAAACTCATCATGATGGAGACTCATCACCTTGTTTGTATGTATGGGTGTTACCATGGAGCACTAATAAAATATTACTGATGCAGTATTTACATTCATATTCCTTACATATTTTCAAAACACCATGTAGATCTGGCAGCGTGGAGTGCAATAAGTTAATATTATCTTAATATGACAAACCCTGACTGTTTATGTTTTTATAGCAAGTCAACAATAATTGCAGCTAATTATTCATTAGACACATTTAGGCCCATTCTATTTTAAGCTGCTGAGCCAATTAGTATTCATGTACTCAAAGCAACGGTCAACATGTTTTGTTTCATAAAATTTTTTACGAGTTTATTAAAAGTCTCATCTTTATGCCATTTGTAAAACTAGAACAAATACTGGTTGTTAAAATAAACTATTGTTGCCATTAAGACAAATTTACAGTCTGTATTGGACAGATCCTTGTTTTGTCAGATGAAAATGAAAAAGAAAATCTGAATTTATTGGTAATGAACTTTACATTTTCATCTTTGTGAATAATTATCTGTCAAATATTGAAATCTGTGCCATGCCATCTGTGTTTACTGAATTCTCTGCATGTCAGCCACTGAACTCCAGCATCAAACATCCATGCGGGCATTTCTGATGTGATGGTAAGCGGTGGAACAAAAAGAGGGAGAGGGAAGACATGCAATTTTAATGACCAGTTCATGTTGGTTTTTTTTTCCTCTTTTCGTTTCTCTGACACAAAAACGTGATAAAAGCAGCCTGACATTGTTTCCATGCCGACACAACATATGATATTCAACGCATGACCAAGACACTTCAGATAAATACTGTATTCTGTCACCTCATGTGTGTTGTGCACCTATTTCATGCATTTTCTCCCCTCTCTCCATCTGTTCTCAGGAAGGAGGTGTCACAGTCAGAGTCGCGGACGACGTGAGAGTATTTGGAGGCATTCCTTGTCTTTGGCGCCCTTTTCCTTTTGTACCTCACTTATGCAATGTGCAGCAACAGCTCGTGTGCAAGATGCGTCTCGCAGAGAAAGAAAAGACGCGGAGCGGCTTGAGTAGAAGGATGCTTTACAGACAGAAAGGAGAGAGCTCTGCAGCAGGATCCCCACGGTGCTGCTGAACATAAAACTGCGTGACTGGTCTCCGCAAGCAGAAGGGAGGAGAGAGGAGAGAAGGGAGGAAGGCAGAGAAGAAAGCAGGGGGAGGGGAGGCAGCTCAGTTCAGTGCGGTGCTGTAGCTGAGTGGATGAGGCAGCAGCATCAGCACCACTAGCTGTAGCATCCTCTCCTTTTGTGGAGGCTGGGGCGGGGGGGTAGGGGGAGCTGTCTTGTAGCTGCTGCAGGACCAACATTCTCTGCATACGCAGAAACGTATCCGGTCACCTCGTCACACGCACCCATGCCGTGGCGGCCAGAGGCAAGGAGGTGGTGGTAAGTGACGGGGTAAGCTCGGGGGACAGGAGGAAACAGGGACGGCTGGAGGGATCCCAAACGTGAGGAGGGCTGGAGCGACGGTGACTGGAGCAGAAGCAGCAGCAGAAGCAGCAGCAGTAGCAGCGGCACCATGGCGCAAGCTGCCAAGCAGCTCCGCAAGACCAAGGACCTCGCAGAGGCCGCCGCCCAGGAGCAGCGGGAGAAGGAGGAGGAGAAGATCAAAAAGAGGAATCGATCCAGAGACCGCAGACGCAAGGTACGGAAGCTCCATCTCAGGAGGCTGGGCAGGTGGTGCTTGCATCCTTGTCTCCATCATACCTTTCATTTCCCCCCTCGCAAGCTCTGTCACACTGCAAACATTGTGCATGATTGGCTGGAACGCAGTTACACAAGTATAATTGCACAGATGGATTTGTAGGCTCAGCGTGTGTATCTGTGTGTGTGTGTATGTATGTGTGTAACCAGTCAAGCATTGATGCTCTGGTGCAGGTTTTGTCAGCGCCGACAGATATTTAGCCATCGGGGGAAATGTCTCTTAATACCAGTAGGGATGTGACTAATACCTGCTGTTTGCAGAATAACACACTATGCCATTCATTTCTTTTACCTGAGAACCCTTGCAGTGGGTGCAGCTTTTTCATGTTAATGAGATTCAGTATTTGAAATGTATGTGCACATATTGTTTCCTTGCGTAAAACCCTAAACAAGCTCTACTCTCTCAAAAAGCTCTGCCATAGTTAGATTTGCTGTCTTCCCCCATATTGCATCTTTTTTTTTCTCACTGGGAGAAAATGGAGGGGGAAGATGGAGGTACAGTCTAATAATAGATGCCGTTTTAATGCTTTTGTGCATCTTTTTGGGCTGCAGGTGTTATTTGAAGAAAAAATATAGCAAATGTTGATAAAGTAATGTCTAAACCTTTTGTTGCAAACTTGATACATGGAATAATATCAGATAAGTGTGAGGCTTTCAGTCACCTTCACATTCCATGCCTCCTCCTCACGCTCCTCTCACTGAGCCACTAAGTGCAGATTTGACTGAGGTTGTGCTTCCTTGCTATTGTGTTCGGGTGATTTATAATTATATGTTTGAGAAAAATTGGCTGTTTGTGGCTCAGTCAGAATCCCTTTTCTGATTGGAGAGAGACACACGACTTCATTGTGGTTTTAGGTGCAGTATGTACAACATAGTGTTACCATTAAAGAATGTCTTTGTGTTTGTTCGAATGCATTTGGGAGTGAGAGCATGCTTTCATAGGATGACAAAATTGCACCAATGAGTTGAATATCAATCATTTAATGGAAACTGTGGAGTATGCAGGTGTTTGCAGAGAAGAAAGCTGCTGCACTCGGGGACTACAGACTTCTTCTTATTTACTGGCTCTCAGTGTAAAACAGACCATTTGTTCTGAATGCCAAATGGTGAGGATGCACTGCCATTATGTAAAAAAGTGAGAAACTTAACTTGTCAAGCTGACCAGAAAACTAAAACATTGTTTTAGTACAACATAATTATAACACAATGTCTGTCATTTTAATAAAAAAAAATAAAAATAAAAAAATAACTATGATCAGGTGTTTCAGTTTAAAGTACTGATTTTACCAGATGCTACATGCTCAGTCTGCAGAGCACAGAAAGGACACAAACAAAAAAAGAATCTCTGAAACATGGATTAGTATTCTGAGACATTGCAGATGCTTGAGCACAAGCTTTGGATTGCTGAGAATGGATTTGTGTGGTTTTTGTACATGCATTTATCCCAACCAAACAGACAATGGTTTCTCTTTTATCACAAAGCATCTATTCTTATTGGCTTATTTTGTATTCTCTGACCAAAAGTAGACTTTGTACTTGAATTGTTGGAATCCAGTTGAAGGTCTGGAGGCAGTGTTTGGTGTTGCTGTAGCAGCAAAAAAAATGAAAGTTTCATGATTCTGCTCAGCTTAGCGAGATAACTTTTCTCAGCAAATTGATTGTTTTAAAAGAAAGGAGCATGCTAAGAACACAACTGAAACTGTGTTTCTCATCAAAAGTCGATGCTGCACATGATGTTGTTTTAACCTTGGCAGTTTATTGCCTTCATGATAAAAGTTTCTTTGGCAGTGAGCCATATTCCAGAGTTTGCATGATCAGCAATATATTGATGAGCTAAAAGTGTCCAATAACTTATCTCTAGGAAGAACCTACTAAATGAAATTGATCTAACGCTTCTCCTTAGAAAATTAGCCTCCTATGTGGTTGTATCTGAATGCATTATATAATTGTCTTAGACACAACATATCTATCCAAATCTGACTCTGATAGTTAGATTTGGACAGAGCTATTTATCAGTTGATCTGATTTTGCTATTTATGTATATTTGTCTAATAGAGACATACCCTATAGCACCTGCATTTGCATCTGTGACTGCAATGAAAGAGGATTCTTTAAAGTGCTCATTGAATACAAATTCATGCCACTCTGAAAATGTTTTATTACATAAGCAAATAAGAGAATCTTGAATCATTTCATATTGACTTCTCAATATTGTGAAACCTTGTGTTCACTAATCAGACACAAGTACCTTTGTAGTCCTCTGTAGGACAGAGAGGGTTTCCCATTTGTTTAAAGTGTTTTGCTGGGTTTCATAAGCTCAAGGCATATGCAATACAGCCATAATGGAATGTCCAGGACTAAAATGCAGCTCTGCCTGTCCTCCCTAAGCAAAACTAGTCTCAGCAACCAGGCCTTCTCACTGTTTTTTCTTAACATGAACCAGTCTTCCTTCTCTCTGAAATATTCGCTACTTGCCCTGAAGTGCAAAGTCAAAGAGATAGAGGGGAGAAGAGGCACGTGCAAGCCTTAAAGATATTAATTAGCTCCAGTCTACGTAAATTAAACTCAGAAGCATGGGATCTCTCTTCCTTACTTGTCCCCCTTTAACTAATCTTTCTGTCACTGCCCTGAACTGATGAGCCCTGATACAGCAGCAGGAAAAGTTCTGCTGGCTCAGGTAAATGCTATGCAGATGCAGAACAGTTTGCAGTCATTTGTTTCTTTGTCTCCACATCTTTAAAAATAAAAGTGTATACCACTAATGTTTGCTAATCTCGGTCTACTCTAACCGAGATTTATGTTTTGTGTAGAATTGTCAGCTTTTGATATTTGTGAAAGATGTCTGACTAAAGATTTAAACTGATGTGATTAAATAACTTTATATGCAATACATGTTGTTGTGGTTTTAGACATGGAAACTTTCAGACCAGGGAGAAGTAAAAAGTGATGTAGCAAAGGATATGGATGAGCAGAAACATGAGTTTTTTTGTTTTTTGTTATTTATTTTAATTAAACTGTACAACCATACAATGCATTTGATATAACTTATTGAAGATGGCCAGTGGAATAATTATTACTATTGCAGTGATACTGGGAAAGGAGCAATGGACTTGAATGACAGGTCGGAAAACAACCCCTCACCATGATAATACAATCATTATGATTGGTAACATTTATTAGTTTGAAAGAACTTAGGCTTCTCCACACACGTATCTTGTTCTTGTGACCACACAGTTAAATCTTTGCCTTGTCTGGTCAAAACAGTTTCTTCAGAAGGCGGGTAAATTAATTTTGGTGGACGGACTTATTCCTTTTTAGACACCTTTGTCCACTGCAATGTGAAACTAATGTACAAACAGATTCCAGCTATTTCCAGGTTTTTCTGATCCCAGCAAATTTCTCTCTTTTCAGAGTGACAGTTTGGATCAGAGGCCTAAAAGTTACATCAAATTTGGTGTCCCACCAAAACAACGGTTTCAAATACACATCAAAATTGATTGTGGAGTAGATAAATCTGCCTATTAGAGTGGCCATTGCAAGACTCCCATCTACACCTTGCTGAAAATGTGTGATCTCTGATTAAAATCATTTCCGAAACCAGTCAATTTAAATGAGCACTACCAATTCTAGCAGCAAGAAGGGGTTAAATATCCAACTGGAATTAGTTCACAAGCTACAAAAAGCATGTGGTTGAGGGACAACTTGGTACCAATACTTGTTTGTTGCACAGTAGATCTGTCCCTTGTTATTTCTGATTGTCAGAAAAAGTATTTTCAATATTCTTATATTGTAAATAAATTCCACCTTCAAAATAGCTTTAAATCAAGGATTGTTGTCAGCAGAAGTCTGATGCATTCCAGTAATACATTATTTTATCAATGGAGTTCATAAAAATGATCAAGATATCATTACTCATGATGTTACTCTGAAGCATTAACTTACTAGGAAGATCAAGCTTTCACTGCCATGAAGCTCCTTAGGCCTATGCATTTATTTGTTTGTTTTTATTTGCTTCAGGCTTGCACTTACATATAAGTGCCAGATCCAAATGGATCGAGGATTTCATAATGGACATTGCATGCTCTCTTTGTTGCCTCTTTTCAGATAACTTTACATGTGCACATATGATATCTTATTCAAATTGCCAAAATTCTGTCTGATATGTTCTTGTACAACATAGATGGCATTATCATTGACATTTTGGAGAAACTACATTAAAATAAGCAAAGATTGCTCTTATAAAACAAGACAGAATTTTGAAAATCAAATTTTTCTTCATTAAACTCTAAAGATGAGAAGGAAATTATAACAAAATTGCTATAATGGAGCTTCTACAGTTCTCTACATACAAGGTGAAATTGTCCATAAATGGTGTAGATTATTCTATACTTTTTTCAGATCTTACTGAAACTATATTTTTTTAAGGCAAGGTAGATTGAGGAGTAAGTTTCTACATTCCTTTTTGAAACAAAATGTTAAAGTTGTTTCCTTTGAAAAAGTCTCCAACAAAGTGATAGAGCATTATTATTATTGGCTCCTTGTGGCCTAACATTTTTTAAATATATTGCTTAATTTAGAGAGATGTAGTCAGAGAGGGGATCTATACTACATACTACAAAGAGGATTGTTATTGTAGATTATTTGGACATTTAAAATGAAATTGTTCTCAGTATCCACTACAAGCTCTCTTATTATGAAAACAGTTTATAACAAGATTTGGCTTCAAAATAGCCACAACTTGTTCATAACAACCATTACAATGCTTACTGTGTACAGTTTTGAAGCTAGATTAAGGAGAGAATAAAAAAGAAAGTTTGTATAGTTGTATAGATATTTAGATGTTTAATATCAAAAGGCAAGCAGGTGAGGAAAAAAAAATCATCCACACAGACTCATAGAAGTTTGACATATTTTTGCACAGCAGTGTACATAGGTGGCACT